ATACGATTTACCAATTATACTGGACTAGTGAGGAAATAATATTAACTAATAAAAGAAATGATAGATTAATACTAAATAGTGTTCACAAATCACTAAATAAATTAATATTAATTTGATTATGATAACGTTCTTGAAAGCATGACCGTTGAAGCTAATAACAAAATAAAGCCTTAAGTACGACTTCTCCGTGCAAAATTAAATAACATCTACAAAACGGGAATGATTAACTCGAAGACAATTTGATCCTTAACACCAGTATTGCCAAAAAAATGAGCACGGTCTGTTTGACACTCAACATATGACTGCTGCTGTCAAAAAATGTCAGCTTAAATTATTCATCTCTAAAACAAAAAGTGACTTTCGATAAGAAGGGGATGATTCTTATTCACAGAATCTATGTAGAGAGGCTCTTTAAAAATACTGATAAGTTGGAAACTAAGGCACTCTAGCATCCAGGCTTAGATAAATACTTAGACAAAGAAAGTAAATATGTATATGAAACTGGGGATGACAATTAGAGAAGCAGTGTTATGAAAGTTATAAGCACACCATGTAAGACAATTGGCAAAAAAGTTTCAATTTACAAAAAAATCTTTCCGTTAAAAACATACCTAGAACTGAGAAGTGGTGCAAAAAGATCCCGAAGTTCCTCGGAAAAAAGATACCAAAGTTTCTGACCCGAGAAGAAATTATGCCCATCTCCGTGAAGATCGAGGTTCTCTGAATCTCCACTCGGTGCAGAGTAAGTACGAAGCCGAGGACCTTCGCCCAAAGATCCACGAAAAGTAAGTGCTTCACTGACTTTATATAGCTTCAGAATTTCTTGAATTGACACTGCTGCGAAATCCTAATCATATAGGTAGAGACAAATTCACTAAAATTCTAATTAATGTTCCTATTATATACATAAATAACATGTATATATCTATATGTATTTGTATATATTTTCTCAATTAAGATTAATATTAATGTTTACTGATTATATACAGCTATTTTGTAGGGAAGTACTTAAAACTGCATGATAGGCGATTTACCAATTGTACTGGACTCGTGGCTCGAATATATATCTTTCCGAGATGAGATAGCACCAAATAAGGGAAGAGGCGGTCCGTGACATAGATAGTACGTCTGTCCGTCTGAAAAGTAGAACCCACCGGCTCAACTGAACTAGCAATCGTTGACGTAGTGACCTCATTGTGCGATGAAGTGTTCCGAATGCTGACAGCAGAGATATCCGTCTTTCCCAAAGAGCCATGAGAAAAAACTGAACTATCGAACTGAGTGTCGGTATCAACGTCGCATAAAGGCAATCTATTAAAAAAAAGTAAAGAATTGTCAACATGCTTTGCCACAAAAATATAAAAAAATGCAATTTATTCTATAAAATTAAGAAAAGCAACACAAAATTCAGCGATATAGTAAATGCTAGCGTGCCATTTACAGAATAGGCATTCTTAGGAAAAATTAAGATCAGAAAAATTATTAACATGTAATTCAAGCCTGATGAAATAAAGGCCTCAAGGGTTA